TTGCAATATACCGAAAGCGTAAGTGAACTAATTTGATAAAATACCTTTACCATATAAATAGATACACGTAGAGACTACTACGAAATGAACAAGATTTATTCAACTCTAAAATTCGACTATTATGCATCTTACTATCTTATCATCCTATGCTATTTAGTAAGCATGCAACGATCAATACAATATTGTTGAGAAAATATATTAAGGTCTTATTGTAATTTTTTAAGAGGTGTGTTAAATGTAATTCCATTTTTCGATTAAGAGTACCCGTTGATAGTATAGAACGAGATACCGCTATCAGCTCTATAATTATAAAGAAGCTATATAGCCATCAGCTTCTACGATGTACAATTCGTATACGTAATATATAGCTTATATACTATCCGTTCCGCCTACTATTTCTAGAGTAATCGATGAAAATTTAGCTAAAATTTCTACCTTGTATACAACTTTCAACCAATTCTATACATCAAGTTATGTAATAATTAGAAATCTTCGATAATTTGTGAAGAGTTACTAATATAATCATTGTTTAGAGAAATCAAAAATGATAACGAATATTTATCGTAATGAATAAGATGATATGTCTAATGTTTGCTTAATAGTCTAGAGATCGATATTCTAATTTAACAAGTTGTACTAATATCACATTTTATGTCGCTAATTTATATGTCAAATTATAAAGAAAAGAAAATATCTTAAATTGATAGAATTTGTTAAGTTGTATCCACGCCATAAGATTTAATTATTCAATATACTCATTAAAATTTATTTTAACTAAGATCTTATTTTACAGTCTTAGATAATCGCTGATCAAAGCTTGTCCTGTCAATATAGGTAGTAATCAATAAGTTATCTAGTTTAATGATAGTTTGAAAAAGATCAAAGATTACTTATTTTAAAATTATCAGATATTTCATTTTTGTCACGTGTTAAGCTCTGGAGATACAGTATCGCTGTTAACTATCAGTATTGAAGTAATAGTTCTTGACCAGTAAACTAAATAAATAGATATACTGAGCTTATCTCTTATGACAATCAACTATCATTTGATGTTATTGACTTTTCTATCAAATATTACTTTCACGAGTTCTTGATTTTATCATTGAGATGATAATACCGTACTGAGTAATGCATTTCAGAACTAAAATATTATTAGGATGTGAGTATCAAATCAAATTATGATTATAAGAAAATTTTAAAGAATCTTATAAGTGTGCCAGGTATGGAACTAATAACGGCTGTTTTAGAACTTGGAACATACACACATTAAATACCTAGAATTTCTGAATTATCAAAATTTTAAATGATCATAAGTAGTTGCTATTTATACAATGAATAGCAGTAAATTTGAGAACCCGAAACATGTGTATATTAAAGTCCTAGAATTTTTTAATTATAATTTTATCCCCTAAATGGTTGTGAGTAATTACTAGTTACGAATTTGATAGGTACAGATTTGAAAACTTAGGACTGCACATATAAAAGCCTGAGAATTTTTCAGTTAGCTACCTTCTAAATAGTCACGGGTAGCGGCCAATTATGCAATTTATAGAAATAAATTCTCTAATTCACGAGAAATAATTAAGAACTAAAGTATAAAACTTTCATATGTTAGTAATAATGTTTATTCAAATAGATAGAGCATTTTTGCAGTAGCAATACTTTATTATGTATTATTAGGCACTCTGATTATGAAAATACAAGTAACTGCGCATAGTCCGCTAGAAACACTAGAGAAAATCATAGCTACCTTAGATGACTCGACTAAGGCAATTATCACACTAAGGCAACAACCTGAAATTATACAGGCCAAGCTCGCACTAACAAAGAGTAAAGAGATATCTAATCCAAGTTCTCTAAAATTCCATCGTTTATCTTTAGTTTTCTAGAAATAAAATAAAAGTAATAATCAAAGTTAGGTAGAGTTTAATATTTTATCAAGATTAAATTTAAAAATAATCTATAAATGGCCTTGAAATACCGTAAAATAATTATGATAAGAAGCTAGAATAGCATAAGGCAAGGTAAAAGTACTAGCGAAACCAATTCCTTGAAGAGCAGCCATACAGAGGACTACGATAACTTGATTGGTTAGTACCATGATTAATGTTGCAATACTAGTAATTGAAAATCCTATCAATAACAGACGATCTGCGCCTGCAAAAATAACTAACTTATA